AAGGCATCATAGAACCACATCCAAATCTGTGAAGCTCAATAATATTCTCTAATCCCCAGCAAAATTCTGCAGGAAAGAAATCCTCCTGATCTCCCTCACAAGTGTATACACACACACACAAACACACACACATAGGTTACTTATATTCATATACACATACATGCATACATACAAAGATTCCAGCACCCACTAGCTGTGTGACTATAACAAGTTACTAAATCTCTCTGAACGTCAAAGGTAAATTAATGATAAGAGGAAGGCACCTGATACAGAGCAAACCAATCACAAATGTTTGATAATTTTTAATATTATCTAGATATGATCATCACTACAATCTCCAAAATGAAACTGCCAACTTGGCTTCACAGCCTTGCTTCCCATGATAATAACAACTTGGTCAATGACTCCACTGGGCAGGAGCACCATAAATGAAGCCTCAGGTTGGCTGATTGCCCTAGAGGGGTAAGCCCTACTTTCAAAGCAAACTAAAAGACTTAAGAGGAGACCAGGCCCAGTGGAAACCCCATGGGTCCAATTACCCAAAAGTGATATGGCCCCTCCCCTTTTACAAGCCCATTCTTTATCTATGGGTGCACCCAGAATTTTCTGATATTCCTCAACACACTAGCTACAGATATACCTGTGGGCACACAAAGCCACAGGGTAAATAGAATGCATTTCCCTAAGCTATCATCAGCTTTACCAAGAGAGATAATGAATTAAAGTCAAATGAGGCTGTAAATATAAACAGTTGCAGCAGGTGCCTGAGGCTACACTTGGGTGTTTATTCTTGTCATTTAGAAGCCTTTGATGGAAATACTAAGGAGCACTGCTAGCCAGCACTCTTTAATCAATGTTGCCCCAATGACAGGCTGCTGTCACATGCAATTTAACCCAGCTTGAAGCAGGATCAGACGCTTATCATCCTAATAAGATGACCCAATGTACTGTCATGTGAATAAAAAGGAGTCTACGTGGAAAATGTTAACAATAATCCTATTTTTGTTGTTTAAGTACAACCAGAAAATTTGTGCACAATTTGTGGGGGAAATGCCTTTATGGAAAGATAACCAACCAATGGTGATCTCCGGAAAGTGGGATTTCTGCATTCTTTGCAACTGTTCCAAATATGTGTAATTTTTTAAATTAAAATAATAATAGTAATAGCAATAATAAAGATTGAGAGAGTATATCAGAAAAATATATATGGATGTTTGCATTAGAGAGAGATCACTCCTTCCTAAATCCACAAGTACAGCAAAGAGAACACCCTAGCAGTCTAGAAAGTATGCTAATTACTTAACTGAAGCACTATGAAAAGTAATCCTTGAAAGTACTCACTAAATTGACCAGTTACCTTTACCTCCTTTTATTCATCTGCTTTCAGGAACCTCCCTGTGGGAAAATCTCCAACTGAATAAGGTCCAGGCTGTGACACTTATCTCTCAGCGCACCTCATGATGCTGGTCTCCATAGTTTCCTGAAACTCAGGTACACAATACAGAGAGCTGCCCAGGCAGGGCAGTAC